CGTTTTCATCCTTAATTGTGAGTAACGGCAGGTTACTCACGCTACCGAAATCCTGAGCATAGCAGCTACTCGACCTATACTAGTAGGATTCATAGGTATTTATATCTATGTATGTAGTTTCCATAAAATGTCTGTAACGTAAATGCACATCATATATATATTCAGTGATCATTCGAAAATAAAGGTTATGCACCGGGGCTTGTCTTGGGTAGGCGGTGTGTCAACAAAGTCAGCAACGAACAGCTCCGGGGCTCTCTCCTATATGAGAACCTCCACCTCATACTCCTCAATAATCTCCTCGTAGTCTTGTTCGTCCACAGGCACGAACTCTACCAACTCGTGATCTATATGCATGAAATGATGATACAACATTTATTAATATGGCAACAGCGACTCTTAAAAAAATACGGTTATCAAGCTACTAAACTAGCTCTACCAACTAAGACGCTACGTTATCTATCATTCCCACTAAATAGGTATGCAACATTTCATGTATTAACTTATCAACTAAAGGAATCCCTATTCTTAATATCGATTTACTCTATATATGATAAAACAAGTAGTACTAGCTATTCTATTTATCAACCTACTCTAAGGCTACAAAAATTACAGCGAGCACATAATAATCTAATGAGCCAACTGTAAAAATTTCATGGCTAAAGCTATCACCCATTTGCCACAAAAATTCATACAAATATTAAGCTAACTAATACTAAGCTTTCTAAATTAAATTTATGAATCTATCATTATCATAGCTAACTGTAAACTAACTACACCAAAAGATAGATAGCATTTTTGTGAACATAACAAATTTTGTTTCACTATTTTTGGACACCAACAGAATTTACTATAATTTTACCAAGATCAGCTCAAAACTAAATTGAATAAACATTTGTTAATTCACTGGAAAAAGGAAAATCGAATCCACCCGCGTTGGCCACTGCGCGAGTGGCTCAGCCCACACTGGCGCCTCGCGTGCGAGCACTGCAACCCACCAGCGCGGCCCAACATCGACGCGGCCCATCCGCGCGACGACTGCCCGCGACAGGGAGGCCGGCGCGCTATGGCTGTTTTGCGAAAACGTCCTTGACCTACCGGCAAATCACCCTGAGACCCACGACACTATTCCTGCAGTCAGCTAGTCCGTAGATAAGCCCTCGGAACAATCTGTCTTTGCAACAGCGATACCCTCGGGCACCCACGCACGCACCGACGCTGGCACAGGGTGGTCACGCCAGCCAGACCAGCCCCTCCCAGCCCCCAATAGCGTGCCGATGCTCACCTAGGCGCAAACTCAAAGCGTTGGGCGATGAACGAAGATGCTGTCCTGAGCTCCCTCCACGGTGGCAGACTCCTCCCTATGACGACGGCCACGTTCCCATGAGCCAAGGTATAGACAACGTGAACGAACCGAATAATGGGCATCAGCGACTCACCCAAAACCTACTAGACGTGGTGGATTGACCGGGGATGGAGCGGGTGCGTCCGGCCACGTGCGCACGGCAAGCTTCATGACGACGGCGGTGGTGTGACCGTGTCCACGACGTTGTGAAAAGCAGTAGTAGTGGAAATGGGGTGCGCATGGGATGGAGGGGAACAGGGCGAAGACAGAGTGCCAAGCAATTGAAGGGAGGTGGATGGTGCTAGGCTAATTGGACGGGCGCTACCGTGGAGTCTTAAGATGGCCGACAGCGAAGGAAGCTTCAAATTGGGCCTCGGTAAGGTACGGTGGCAACAATGGCCGAGCTCGGCATGTAGCTAGGATCCCACTCAACTATCAGGCGCACTCAATTGCATGGATTTGATCGATGCTGCGAGCTGGCCCCCGGCGCAGCTCGGTGACGCCAACATGACGCCCTTAATGGTGGAGGTGACGGGGGCGTAGAGAGGTGCACGCCACTCAAATGAAACGGACAAGGGCACATAGGGAAGGAACATGTGCGCGTATGAGTTGGCACGGCTCGTGCGGCCGCAGCGCCTTAACTTGCAAGCCGACGGTGACACGGCCATGTGTCGGTGCAGCGGCTCAGGCGGACGCGACACGAGCGGTGCAGGCGCACGCGGCGACCCAACAATCATGACCCCGACTAGCAGCAGCGTGAGGACACCACAAGGCAGACAACAGTGGACCAGCCAGGGCATAGGGCCCGCGACGACGGCGGTGGTGGTAGAGCGGCCAGGCGAACGCGACGCAAGCAGTGTGAGCGCACGCGACGACTCAGCACTCACAGCCACAGCTAGCAGCAGCGCGGTGACGCGACGCAACGCAGGCAGTGACATGGTGAAGTGGGTGGCAGCGGACTGGCTAGGGTAGCGGGCTCACGACGACGATAGTGGTGGCAGAGCGGCCAGGCCCACCGAGCGCGGCGTGCGTGTGCGTGCGTGAGTCGCGTGCTAGGGCGCGGCAACGGCGGTGTGGGTGTGCGCACTTGGGCAAGCTAGTGCTGCGACACCGAGCTGAACCGAGGCATGGTGACCGCGTCCAGACGCTGAAGCCGGCCGAGAACGTGCCCTGCACGTTTTTTATAGCGCCCCAAAAATCCAACTCGATGCTTCAATTGCTAAACCACCTATTTTATACTCGAGATGGCATGTTAGGCTACTAAAACAAGCCCTACGACCATACCACTACTTAACCTGATTCTTCTACAAAAATTGCCGAACTTAGCTTCGTCAAAGCATTTTCTGACTTAAGAAATTTGGGTCTTCATCGATTTCACGTCAAATTCGATTTCCAAGCTATTAAATATGCTAGTTAGTGAATCCCGTTCTCGACCGCAAGTATTTCACCGCCACCTACGAAGCTTATACTACAAACTTTATTAAAGTGCCGTAAATGTATTCTATAGTATTTTTGTTCAATAAAAATTCGTTTAAAAACCCTAAGTGCTATAACGCGACATTGAATGTATCTTTCGTTTCGCGTTTCCGATGATCGTTTTAAGTTATGTGCATTGCTTTACACCCTATATTACACACATTTACACACAAATATGATGCTCATGTAGTGTTTTAGCAAAAGACTGTACAGTGTAACACCGAGGGCGTTACACCCTCTGTCACACAGAGAATGACATTATAGGATTTGTAGCATAAATTAAGGATTCGACAAAATGATTTGGGTACCCTTTCAAAAAATACTAGTAGACGTACAGTTTGGATACCCTTCACAATGTCTCTCTTTGATGGCAAATTTTCAATGCTACAAGGTCTTTGGTTATGGGACGAAAGAGGTACATTATGTTGAGCTCTTAGCAGCCATGTTCCCATGGTCTAAATTTCTCGAGCATTAAGATTGCGTCCTTTGCGCAAACGGAAAGTGCGTCCGATGGACCGGACAAACATCGGACGACTTTTTCACCCCCGCCGCTTGCTCCTGCCCGCATGTATATTAAAAAAACTTATCTCTTCGCTTCCTCCTCCCCATCCTTACCCCTTCCGCGCTCCTCATACCTTGCCGCAGTGCACCAACGTCCGGCGTCCTCCCTCACCCCGACATCCTCACCGGGAGCCCCTAATGTCCGCAAATCCGATGGCCCTCTCTCCCACCCCGGCGAGATCCATGGAGCACGAGCGAAAATCCACTCGCCTCCAGCGAGATCCATGGAGGTGGCGCGACGGTGTTGTAGGAGAGTGGGCGGCTCTCCTCTACCCTGGCGCGACGCCGTCCCCACCCCGGCAGCGCTCTCTCACCCTAGCGACCGAGCTCCCTCCACCCCGGCAGCCATGGCGCTCCTCGCCCCCCATCTCCCACCATCGCCGCCGACCCAAGCTCGGTGGTGGTGGTGGTGCTCGCGCGCAGCTGCTCGCTGCCAGCTCCCACCCCGTCGGCCAAAATCGACCGGCCCAGGCCTCTCTTCCCCTATGCTGCAAATGTATGTTTCAATTGTTTTAGACGTTTCAGAGGCATGTTGCAATTGTTTCATATGAACGTTGCAAGAGTAGATTAGGGGATGTTGCACATGTTGCATATGTTGGAAGTGTTTCAGAGGCATATTGCAAGCTTTTGTTCAAACTGTTTTATCTGTTTCCAAACATACGTTGCAAGCGTTTTGATCTGGATGTTGCATATATTTTCACACATATGTTGCATCTAAAATGTTTTATCTGTTTCAGTCTTCTGTTGCAGTAAGTGTTTTCATATTGCAAGTTACAAGTGTTCTATCTGGATGCTGCATATGTTTTCACACATATGGTGCTAGTGTATATTCTAGATGTTTCATCTATTTCAGGCGTATGTTGCATTCAAATGTTTCATGTTGCACGTGTTTCCTGCTGTTCGGAGAGTCAGGGGGCGCCGAAGAATGAGGCGCGGTGGGCCGGTGGACGTGGCGCGCGGCGCGCTGAGGGCCGACGGTCGGGGGCACGACGAGGCGGGTTGAACAGATGGGGATGGGGGCGGGAGGCGAGGTGCGCCTGCGGGGACAGGGCGAACGGATGGGGATGAGGGCGGGGGTGCGCGGATGGGGGTGGGTCAAACATCAGGGCGGGCTTGTCAGGCGTGCGAGCGGGTGTCCGATGGAATTCATCCCCATCGGACGTCCGTGCGCTAGCATTTCCCTTGCGCAAAGAGAGAGAATGTTGAAATTATTTTATTTTGCCTATATGTCCAACAGTTTTCATGTAAAAAATTAGCCCTTAGAAAATACATATTCTTTTAATAAATGAAATATTATATACTCTCCTCATTTCAAACTATAAGACATTTTAAATTTTTAGATATATAATTTTTACTATATATTTAAATATATATCATATCTAGTAGATATATAATAAAAACAATGTACTCCTATCTTAGAAAGAGATTATATTGTCTTATGAAGGCTACATTTGCATTTCCACGTAACTGTCTCTGCGTGACTGCGTGCAAAAAGCGGAGAATGTCTTTCATTCCGTAACCGCTGTTGGTTTGCGTAACAACTGCCACTTCGCCTCTCGGCGTTCTTCTTCCCGACCGATCCGACCCCGTGAGCTAAACGCCTAAACCAGACAAACCAGCCATGGAGGAGACTGGCACAAGCCGCCCGCCCGCCTCTGGCACCGACGCCGGCGACTTCCCGGAGCTCCTAGGTTTCTGCGCGCGCGCGGAGGCCCTCATCGCTGAGCTGCTCCTGCTCTCCGACCGCGCACCTCCGCTGTTCGCAGACCGCCGCTTCGACCCCGTCCTCTTCGACTTCCGGTGACATCTCTCGCTGTGTTCTCTGCCATAAATAATAAAATCCGTACCATCGCAATGCGAAAGTGCAACTTTGTGAATTCTCCTCCTATTCGTAGATAGAAATCTGCACATCTCGAGTACCCACCGTAGCTTTAAGTTTTAATAGCTGAGGTTCACTTCGCTCGCGGCGCAGATACTTCGATTCCCCAGGCGATTTTGAGGCGAGGATCGACGGAAACATCGAGCTGGAAGCACTGGAAGATCAGCTCCGTGACTCCTGCGGCTCCTACATGCAGAGATTCTTCTCCTTTCTGGATGGCGCCGTCACTTACCACGGAGAGCTCTGCAATTACCTGAATGATCTGCAGGTTAGGCTTTGCGCCGTTGCAGTGTCTTTGTAACTTGTAGATTGATGCCATTGTTGCTAAATATTTTTAGATGAACTAGAGCGTCAAACATGATGCCCCCAGTCCCAATTTTAGTGACACTAAACGAGTGTTCTTTCATGTTTAGGAAGGGTTATATGTCCACTGCACATTAGATCATGTGTTGGAGAATAACTGCGCATGCCAGTTACTCGTGGAGTCAATGACTCTGTTCGGATGCATGATTCTTATAATGGAACACAAAATTGGTGGGTTGCTGCGCGAGAGGCTCCTTGTGGCACACCTGCGGTACAAACGCTGTTTTAGCTATCCCAATCTGGAGCAGATATGTGAGCTCTGTCGTCGGCATGTGCCGACCCCGGGTACTTCTGCTAGTCCTGGTTCATTACCATTTAGCTTGGACATTATTTCTATTCAGAAGTCTGAGGACCTACTCAGGAGGTTTCTATTGCCCGAACCTGTTGTGAATGCTGTCATAACCTGCTTGAGAAATGGGGATGTGTACAACAACATCCGCTTCTATCCTGATCCGCAGCACCGGACTACTGCTCTGTCCCTGCAAGGTGGACATCTGTATGTTCTTTTGTTTTACTCTCATGACCTTCTGCACAGAGGTTTGGCTATGCGGGAGATTGTTGACCGGTTCTTCAAAGACAACTGGGTGGTTCCCATATTCTTGCATTTCTCAGTTGATTTACTTGTCTCTTGGGATGCATACAAAGAAGCAAAGTCATCATTAGTTTCCTGCCTTTCTCCCACTTCCATTCGTGATATCAGTCTTCACCATTATACAAAGGTGAGTATAGCAAAACATTTTATTCTATTATTATCAAAGATTTTCCTGTTTTGGATGTTGATTGTGAATTGCAGCCCAATACCTACTTTTTTCTCTAATTCATAAATTAGTTGAACTTGAAATTTTCTCTGCTCCTATTGGATTGACTATCTGTATTCTTTTCCTGAAATTTTCTCACTTTCCTTTTTTTGACTTCTGCATGCTGTTTTTTTTTTCAACTCCAGGTTCCTTATTTTTTAGCTGACTTGGATATTCACATGCATGCCATAAACAAGGAGTATGTGCTCAATAATTCTCAGAGTCTTCTTTCTGTCATTAGAGAATGCAATTTCACTCTCCGTTGGCTTTTGCTTCACCGCATGGTAAAGCTCTATATTTACATTAATCATTGCTGTACATCTTGTGAAGCAGCAAACCATTGTTATGCTTGTCTTTTTGTTATTTTACATTCTAACATGCTATATCATAGACTAGTGACAAGAAGGCAAGGGACCTGGTGATCTCTGTAGGGTCATCGCAGCAAGTAGATGAAGGAAGTCTGTTACAACTTTTATTCAAGACTGCTAAAGTGAAGACTATTCTCAGAGAAATTGAATATTTTAAAGTTGTATGATTTTTTTTTTCTGATTCCAATGTTCCTTGGTTTTGTTTGTATATTATAGCTTGAGTTTGAGGTGAAGCAACTGCATATTGAACTGTTGAAAACTAGAGAAAGTATGTGGTATGAAAAGAAGAATGATGCTTTGGAATGTATGAAGGACTTGTCTCAGAACTATATTGGGACTTGGGTACGTTCTGAACTTCAAATATACCTTGCTAGACATTCACCTGTAGATGCTTTGTTCTCATTCTCTGTTACTTTGCTTATTATTGAGCTTATTGCTTGAATTAAGTTAGGGTCTGCACATGTATATCAAGCTATGAGTTTATCTTAAAATGTGAATGAGTACCATAAGAATGATGATGTTTTCTTCTTCTTCTGACTTTCTACATAGGCTGCATCATGCAAATTCAAGAATAAGACTCTGAAAGACTGGTTGGAGCAATTGTTGTCAGAGGTCAATACTGTTTATTTTCCCCTTACATGTATTTACTGAAGATGCAGCATTGGCAATTATTTGATGAGGATGGCAACTTTTATATGTTGAATTTTGTTAATTTGTGGTGATTATTTTCTGACAGCTTATTTCCCTGAACTACACCTCCATTGGAAGTTGTGGCAGGACAATTCATCGAGTGCTGTCTACACTAAAAGATATGGAGATGATCCACCAGGTAGAAGCTTACTAATCTGTTTAACATAACAGTAATCAGTATAACCATAGTAATATTTTTCTTACTCTCCAGTTTTTGTGCAAAAGGTAATGCTGGCATACCATATTGACTATTTCCACAAGAAAATAACATAGGGTTAGTTGCTTCAGATTTCAACTTAGGCTTGAATACTCCGGCATTTAGTGGGTCTAAATACTAAAATATGGTATGGATCCCAATTAGTAAATGGAAAAATTAGACAACACAGTACCAAAATGTTGTTAAATGCTAGGGAGAGGGCATTGCTAGAATCTAGTAATAAGCCATCATGCCTTTTGATGGTGTTAGATTGCATCTGGATTGTAGATTCTTTTTCTATGAAGTTTCTTTGACGTAGTCTTTTAGATATCCATATTTATCACCCCATATGTTCTGAAATAACAGCTTTTACCTTTGACAAATGACCATTATTATAGATAAATATATGTACTCCCTCTTTTCCAAATTGTAAGCCGTTTTGGCTTTTCTAGGTATATTATTTTTGCTATGCACCTAGATATACGCTATGTCTAGATACATAGGAAAAACTATGTACCTAGAAAATATAAAACGACTTATAATTTGGAATAGAGGGAGTATATTAAACTATGAAGTTGATGCCATGATATATATTATGATACATATTTTGAAACTAAAAAAAAACTAGACAAACCTAGGAGGAACTAGGTGGTATTTTATTAAGAAGAAAATAGGCACCCAAGTTTGCCTTGACAAGGACTTGAATCTGGGTGGTTTGGGTCTACATCCACACCCTTGAACAACTGAACTAGCTTCCTGTGTTTTGAAACTATAATATTTCTAAATTTTTGCTGGGGTGTTGCTATGGGAAATTGGGAAGTGATGGTCAAAGTTGCATGCTGGAGACCATGCCTTGTTCAAAGCGTGATATCTTTTGGAACAAAGGGAATAAGTTTCTTGAGTAAATGATGCAGGTCAAAGAGAGTGTGCAGATAAAGCGAGGCTTCTCCAAAATACAGAATAATCTCCATGATATGATAAAAGTCCTTAACCTAAACCAAGAGGCAACAAATATTTTGTCAGTGGTAAGAACTTATCTTTTTCTATCTGGTCTTTTGATTCACCTAAGCAAAAATCTTTAGCATCTTATATATATGTTCTTCATTGACTACTTGGAAGTTGACTAAAGTGTCGCTAATAGTCCCCGCATAACTAATGTGTTTCTGACTATGACTATTTCTCATTGTTTCTCAGATTACTGATGCTAAATATGCATGGGTTTATCTTACATTGTTTGAGACACTTCTTAAGAAGAATATCAGTCATGATCCATCGGAAACGATATTTTTGCATACGGTGTTTCTTAAATTTCAATCATGGCTGAGTGCACCGCTGCAAAGGATCAAGCAATGTGAAAGGTGTTTCTTCTGATCTTGCACTTTCATGGTCATCGAAGTTCAGATCTAGTGCTACAATATCAAGTGCTGTCAATGCTACTATGCTAGGATAATATTCTTCTCTATGCTACCATTGGCTTTATTCATTTTTGCTCTGAATGAATTCAGCAATCTTACAAAGTATATTACCGTCACATTTGGGTGATTATTTTATGAATGAATTATGCTATGACTTTGATGCGTAGCTTTGTTTTCTGTTTCATATTTGTTTTAAACACATTTGAACATTGTACTATGTTGTTATAATATAGCCACTTCTAGGTTTGTTCTAATTCAAACTTGTTATGTTTGACCAAATTTATAGGAGGAAATATCAACATCTAGGACACCAAATTAGTATGATTATACCAATTATGAAATAAATTTGCACAATTTACTTATTTGGTGTTATACAACAACAACAACAACAACAACAACATAGCCTTTCAGTCCTAAGCAAGTTGGGGTAGGCTAGAGTTGAAACCCACCAAAAGCCCCAAGTCACGGTTCAGGCACTTCAATAGCTGCTTTCCAAGTACTCCTATTCAAACATACATCTCTAGGTATATCCCAAGCTTTTAAATCTTTTTTTATTGCCTCCCCCCATATCAATTGTTGAATAAGTTTTGGTGGATAAGTTTTTCTTCAATTGGTGCTACCTCTAGGCGATCACGTATATCATCGTTCCGAACTCGATCCATTCTTGTGTAACCGCAAATCCATCGCAACATACGCATTTCTGCAACACTCAGTTGTTGAACTCGAATCTTTGTAGGCCAACATTCTACTCCATACAACATAGCCGGTCTAATCGCCGTTCTATAGAACTTGCCTTTTAGTTTTTGTGGTATCCACTTATCACAGAGAATGCCAGAAGCTTGTCACCACTTGATCCACCCTGCTTTGATTCTATAGCTAACGTCCGCATCAATATCTCCATCCCTCTGTAGCATCGATCCCAGATACCGAAAAGTATCCTTCTTAGGCACTACTTAACCTTCCAAATTCACATCTCCCTCCTCCTGTACAACTCCGCCAAAGTCGCATCTCATGTATTCGGTTTTAGTTCTGCTCAATCTAAAACATTTAGACTCAAGGGTCTGCCGTCATAACTCTAGTTTCCTATTTACTCCCGCCTGGCTTTCGTCCACTAACACTACATCATCAGCGAACAACATACACCAAGGGATATCCTCTTGTTTGTTCCTGGTAACCTCATCCATTACCAAGGCAAAGAGATGCGGGCTTAAGGCTGACCCTTGATGAAGTCCAATTTTAATTAGGAAGTAATCTGTGTTACCATCGTTTGTTCGAACACTAGTCACAACATTGTTGTACATGTCCTTAATGAGGGTCACGTACTTTGATGGGACTTTATGTTTGTCCAAAGACCACCACATAACATTTCTTGGTATCTTGTCATAAGTCTTCTCCAAGTCAATGAAAACCAAGTGGAGGTCCTTCTGCTCTCTAAACCGATCCATAACCTGTCTTATTAATAAGATTGCTTCTGTGGTTGACCTTTCGGGCATGAAACTAAATTGGTTTGTTGATATCTGCGTCGTTCCTCGCAGGCACTGCTCGATGACTCTCTCCCGTAACTTCATAGTGTGTCTCATCAACTTAATTCCCCGATAATTATTACAACTTTGGATATCTCTTTTGCTCTTGTAGATTGGTACCGATATGCTTCTTCTCTACTACTCAGGCATCTTGTTCGATCGAAAGATATTATTGAACATTTTGGTTAGCCATAATATAGCTATATCCCTGAGACATCTCCACAACTTAAATTGGAATACCATCAGGGCCCATCGCTTTGTCCCCTTTCATCCTTTTCAAGGCTTCTCTGACCTCCGATTCTTGAATCCTCCGCACAAAGCGCCTGTTAGTGTCATCAAACGAGTCGTCCAGCTGAACGGTGTTCTCGTTCTCACCATTTAACAATTTATCAAAATACTCTTGCCATCTATGTCTGATCTCATCCTCCTTCACCAAGAGTTGCTCCCTCTCATCTTTTATGCACTTGACTTAGTTGAAGTTTCTTTTTCTTCCTATCGCGAGCCTTTGCCATCCTATAAATGTCCTTCTCTCCTTCCCTCGTACTCAAACGTCGGTAAAGGTCCTCATAGGCCCGCCCCTTTGCCTCACTCACCGCTCGTTTTGCAGTCTTCTTTGCCACCTTGTACTTCTCTAGGTTGTTTGCACACCTGTCATGATACAAGCGCTTATAGCACTCCTTTTCCTTAATAGCCTTTTGCACATCTTCATTCCACCACCAAGTGTCTTTCGAGTCGCATCCGCTCCCTTTGGTCACTCCAAGCACCTCTGAAGCAACCTTCCGAACGCATGTTGCCATCTTCTTCCACATGTTGTTTGCATCGCCTTCATCATTCCAAGAGCCCTCTTCAATGACCTTTTCCTTAAAGACCTTTGATGCCTCCCCTTCTAATTTCCACCACTTCGTTCTAGCAACCCTAACTTGTTTGTTCCTACGAGCTTGCACCAGAAAGCGGAAGTCAGCCACCACCAGTTTGTGTTGAGCAACCATACATTCTCCAGGTATCACCTTACAGTCCACGCATGTTCATTTATCCCTCCTTATAAGGACAAAGTCGATTTGACTAGAGTACTGGTCGCTACTAAAGGCCACTAAATAGGGCTGCCTCTTATGGAAGAAAGTGTTAGCTATCATCAGATCAAAAGCTATGGCGAAGTCTAAGACTTCCTCTCCCTCCTGGTTCCTACTACCATATCCGAAACCCCCATGAACCGCCTCGAAACCTGCACTTGATGTACCTACATGGCCATTAAGATCACCTCATATAAAGAGCTTCTCGCTACTAGGGACAGCTCTAACCAAGCGATCTAAGTCTTCCCAGAAAAGCCGCTTAGCACTCTCATCATGGCCTACTTTGGGGGCATACGTACTAATTACGTTTAAGACCATATCACTAATGACAAGTTTAACTAAGATGATCCTATTCCCTTGCCTTCTCACCTCCACCACACCATCCTTGAGGCTCTTATCAATCAAAACTCCTACTCTATTTTTATTTGAAGTTGTCCCTGTGTACCAGAGCTTGAAGCCGGTATTGTCCACCTCCTTCGTCTGCTGCCCCTTTCATTTAGTCTCTTGGACGCATAAGATATTTACACGCTTCTTAACCGCTGTGTCCACTAACTCTCTTAACTTACATGTAAGGGACCCTACATTCTAGCTATCTAAACGGATCCTAGTTGGCTCGATTAGCTTCCTTACCCTTCGCGTCCGTCGAGGTAGGTGTGAGGACCCTTGCTCATTTTGCACCACATTCGGGCGCCGATGTGGCGCGCCACTAAGGATGCAACGACCCGATCCTTGCTCACTTGACACCGTGTCCAGATCGCGACACGGCGCGTCATGGGGGTGACGACCCGGCCCTTGCTCATTTAACACCATACCCGGGTTCCGACATGGCGCGTCGCTAAGAGGGTTACGCCCCAACGGGTTTCTTTTGGGTTTCATCTCCATTAAAGTGGCTAAGTTTTTACATTGGCTCGCCGCGCCTAACACAACAACCTTCCTCCTTTACCAGGGCTTGGGACCTGCTATGCTGGGACACCAAAGGCGCCCCACCATAGGCGGAGTTACTTATTTGGTGTTATAGATGTTAATTATTTTTATAAACTTGGTCAAAGCTAAAATAGTTTGACTTAGGAAAAACCCAGAAGTTGCTAGATTTTGGAATGGAGGTAGTACCAAAGTTGTCAGCGGACAGTTAGGATTAGCTAATTTTCCGCTTTTGAAAATGAAGTTAGCTCCTTTATAAATGATACAAGCTGGAAAGGGAATCAGAGAAACCTTGATTTTTGTCACATCTGCTCACATCATGCCCTAGCTCTATTTGTATGTTGATTGTTGAACACTGTATAGGTTAAAGAAGTTTTGGGTCCTAGAGGTGTGATTTACTACTGTTTACCCTGTTAATCTTGAGGTTAGTTGAATTTTTATTTTAATTTAGAAAAGATTATCTAGATTTGTCCTGAAGGTTTTTTTTTTTCCAAGAAAATACAAAAGTTGTGGCTAAGATTTGGATTCGACCCCTCCACTTCTTAAACATGTGCAGTTTTCTAAATCTTAATTAGAGATACAGTACAAATGAAATGAGAAAGATACGGGATTGGTTTTTTGAAGCATGCACATTATATCGTCTGTACGTCCACGCATGATGCACCACTCCCTCGAAAATTAAATTAAAATTAAAAATACCTCCACCCACCCAGAAGTGGTTATTTCCTACATAATGAACTTTGATATTATAAATGATCTACAAAAATTATTTCCCCCTTCAGTGTACATGTATTTTCCTCTACATATTGCATATCTTGATATTTGCTGTTCTATCGAACTCATTTTGTTGAAACATTTCTTACTCCTTGAGTTTTGAAAATTTGACAGCCCTGATATTCACTGTGTCTCAACCTACTATTCTTCGAAATATGCAGCTAAGATATTTGCAGTTTTGGATATTATCCCGGTAAGTTCCTTCTTTGTGGTGCTAGACAGTGAAACACAACCTTTGTTTATCGTTGGTTAAACAAGTTCTTCACTTTTATTTGCGTGAGATACGTTGAACCTTTTTATCAGTTTGTGGTCCATTATCCTTCTGAATCATATGAATTATAAGGAAGCATTAGAAATATAGGTACTTGTGCTGATTTTTCTCCAACATTGCCAGGAAAAATTGCTTAAAATTTCCAATGCTGTGGATTATGCAAATGCAGAACAGCCTACTCATCTAGTAAATCGCATCAACCAGGAAGCATTGCAAGAGCTCATGCAGGTATTGGTTGTATAGTTGTACCTAGCTAATCCTTTTGGTATTATCAAGTTTCTAAGTTAGTTAAAGCATAGAAAGTTTATGCACCATCTATTTATTCTTCTTGATAGAGGAATGCCAATAGGCTTAGATTCACTTAATAGAGAGTTTACAAGAGGGTTACATATTTATAGAGGTAAACTAACTAGAGAATAAAGAGGGGGGAAGTCCCAGGCAACAAGCCGGGAGTCCCTAGGCGGCACAGTGGGTGGAAACCCCCGCTGTCAGAACGTCGTTAGGACGAACGTTCAGACTGGAGCGAAACTCCATAAAAACCGAAGAAAGGAGGCCCTTGGTGAAGACATCGGCGAATTGCGACGTGGTGGGAACGTGAAGCAAACGGACAGCCCCAAGTGCGACCCGTTCCCGGACGAAGTGAAGATCGATTTCCACGTGCTTGGTACGCTGGTGTTGAACGGGGTTGGTGGAGAGGTAGATGGCGCTGACGTTGTCACGATGACGCGAAGCGGCGAAATCCGGAGGATGGTGCAGCTCTGCGGAAGTTGCGCGACCCGGGAGGCTTCGGCGACGTCGTTAACAACAACCGATGTTGACCTCGGCGGCGCTTGAGTGTGAAACTGTAGGCTGGCGCTTAGACGACTAGGAGATGAGGCTGCCACCGAGGAAGACAGCATATCCGGAGGTGGAACGACGGGTGTCAGGGCAGCCAGCCCAGTCAGCGTCGGTGTAGACGATGAGCTGAGTCGGGGCAGAGCGGGGAATGACAAGACCAAAACCGATAGTGCCCTGAAGGTAGCGAAGAATCCGCTTGGCAGCAACAAGATGAACTTCTCGGGGGTCATGCATGTGCAGGCAAACTTGTTGAACGGCGTACGTGATGTCGGGCCGGGTGAAAGTGAGGTACTGGAGAGCGCCCACAAGGCTGCGATATGCTGTAGGATCATCAACAGAAGGTCCGCCATCAGCAGAAACTTTGGCACAAGTGTCAACAGGGGTGGAACAAGGCTTGCAGTCGCTCACGCCATGACGAGCAAGAATGTCCAGAGTGCACTGACGCTGGGAGAGGAATAGAGTGTCCTTCTGTCGCTGAACTGCCACGCCAAGAAAATGGTGCAGGGAGCCAAGATCTTTCATGGCAAATTCTTTCTTTAGTGCATCGATCACCCGGTGTAAGAGCGGCTGAGAGGAGGCAGTAACAACAATGTCATCCACATAGAGGAGCAAGTAGACTGTCTCGGTGCCGTGGTGATAGATGAAAAGAGAGGTGTCGGACTTAGCTTCAGTGAATCCCAAAGACAGCATGAGAGGCAAGCAAACAAACCGGTGCATGCCACGCTTTCATGATGCTTGCTTCAAGCCGTAGAGGGACTTGTTGAGCCGGCAGACATGTTCAGGAAGAGTAGGATCGGCAAAACCAGTGGGCTGAGAGCAGTACACTGTTTCTAACAAGGTCCCGTGAAGGAAGGCGTTCTTCACATCAAGTTGATGGATCGGTCGATCCGAGAATGAGCGAGTGAGGACGGTGCTGACGATGGCTGGGTTTGACGACGAAATTTGAAGGTTGCGTCGTAATGTCGATCACAAAGCGTATTGTAAAACCCGCCAAGTACCCATCGAGCCTTGTATCATCCGAGGAGCCATCAATGGAACTTATGTTTGAAAATCCATTTCTTGCGGTGACCACATTCGCCTTGGTCAAGGCGAGAAACGAGATCCCAAGTGTGGTTGTCCAAGAGAAAGCAAATATTCTTCTTCCATAGCCCGGCGCCAATGGTGATTGGTAAGGCGTCGCGACAGACCAGCGATATCGGGGATGAGCTTGGTGTAAGGGGCAAGACGGGGCTGCTAGTACCCAGACTTCCCATGAGTCGCCATGCCATGAGAATTGGCGACAGGCGGGATGGGAACAGCGCCGGCTGGAAGTGAAGGACCACTCTTGACAAAGCGTGGTGGAGATGGAATGATCTGGGAGCGTCGAGGAGGAGCCCCAAAGAGAGTCTTGGTGACGAGCCGGTGTCTCGAACACGCTGGTGTGAACATGGACGATGAGTGGTTTGGCGAAGGAGGATGTTGGGGCGCTTTGCAGGCGTCATGGACACCGGGCGGGCGGCGGATGGCGGGGGGGCGCCGCACAGGATCGCCGTGGATGTCGATGAGAGGGGCCGCCGGCTGGGATGTCGGTGTGCTTGGGGCAGGCACCGAGATGACCGACGGCCGGGGCACAGGGAAACCCGGTGGAGGTGGCTGGACCCAGCTGCGTGCCCGATCCCCTGCATTAGGCGTGACCGATGGCACAGTTGGGGAGGTGCAGAGAGCAGGTCTTGTGATGGGGGCTCGCGCCTGGGATACCTGCAGGAAGAAGGGAAACTGACGAGGGGTCGTCATCGTTAGAAAATCAAGCTCGTGGGTAGGTGGTGAGGGCCGACGAAGGAGAAAGGAAACGTGGTTTCGTCGAAAACAACGTGGCGAGAGATGATGACACGGTTGGTGGCGAGATCGAGGCACCTATAGCCCTTGTGATCGGGAGAATAGCCAATGAAAACACATAGAGAAGAACGCGGGGCGAGCTTGTGAGGAGTGGTGGCAGTGAGGTTGGGGTAACAGGTGCACCCAAAAGTTCGGAGATCATGATAGGAAGGATGAGTGCCAAAGAGTGCGAAGAAAGGGGTGCTCATTTGGAGAGTTTTGGTGGGGAGGCGATTGATGATGTGAGTGGCAGTGGCAAGGGCATCAGCCCAATAGGAGGGGGTTATGGAAGCTTGGAAGAGTAAGGTGCGGGTGACATTGTTGGTGGTTCGAAGCATGCGCTTGGCTTTGCCATTTTGCTGCGAGGTATAGGGGCAAGACATGCGGAGAGAAACACCTTTAGCAAGAAAGAAAGCACGAGACGCAGAGTTGTCAAACTCACGGCCATTGTCACATTGCACGGATTTGATGGTGCAACCAAACTGAGTGAGCACATAGGCGAAAAAATTAGAGAGGACAGAAAAGGTGTCAGGCTTTAAACAAAGAGGAAAAGTCCAAAGAAAATAAGAGCAATCATCAATAATAATGAGATAATATTTAAATCCGGATACACTGATAATTGGAGAAGTCCACAGATCACAATGGATTAACTCGAAATTATGAGATGCTCTTGACAAGGAACTAGTAAAGGGTAAGCGGACATGGTGCCCAAGCTGACAAGCATGGCAGAGGGAGTCATCATCGGGTTTGCTGTAGATAATCGAAGAAGACTGGGCGAGGCTCTGAAGAGTGGCCTTGCCAGGATGGCCGAGGCGACGATGCCAAGTAGCCGGGGATGGAGTGGCCACAAGAGCGCAGGAACCGGAAGGCGACGACGGGAGCTGCAGGGTGTAGAGGGGCCCTGAGCTGTTACATCGAAGGAGGACGTTCCGGGTACGGAGATCCTTCACAGAAACACCAAGTGGGTCAAACTCAACAGAAACAAGATTATCAGAGGTGAATTGTCTAACAGAGAGGGTTTTTAATAATATCAGGAGCTATAAGAACGTTGTTGAGATGAAAAGGACCAGGAAGAGTAGAGTAGCCAGTGCCAGCGACCGGTAAAGTGGCACCATTGCTGACCACAATGGAGGAAGGAAAAACGGAGGATGGCGATACGGTGACCATACCAGGGTTGGAAGCAATGTGAGATGTGCCGCTCGAGTCGACAACCCATTCCGAGGAACTTGGTGGCGGGGTGAGAGTAACGGTGCTGAAAGCGTTGGCAAGGGATTGGGGATCCCATGGTGACCATGCAGGAGGGGACGGTGAGGTGGGCGCCTGGTAGTACGCTGCAGGAGCTGGAGGACAGTATGCTCCAGGAAGAGGCATGCCCGTCATCAGAGCTTGCTGCGGAAACGAAGATGGGCCGACGCGAGGTGGTGGACCGCGAGGACCACTGTGGAAGGACCCTGGCCACATGTGGATGGACCCGGTCCATGGGTTGAGGATGGAGGGCCACTGTGGTCCGCCTGGCGAGCCGCTGTGCGATCAGCCTTGGCCACGGCCGCCGCGACGACGCCGGCCACGGTTGCTGCCAGGTGACACCCCCCCGGCAGCCTGTGGAGGGCGCGGGAATGTCGGCCCAGCGGGTGACGAGGAGGCAGGAGGCTTGCTGGACGAAGAGGCGAGGAGAGCTGAGGGAGGTGCCGAGGGAGGCGCCATGTTGAGCTCGGCCAGACGTAGGTCGGCACGGACATCAGCAAACGAAGGGAACGGCCGCTGTCGGGTGACGAGCTGCGACATGAATTGGAAGCGCTCGTTGAGGCCACGCAAAACATTCAGCACAAGAGTGCGGTCGTTGATGGGCTCGCCGAGGTCGGCAAGTGCATCGGCCATACTCTTCATCTTGCGGCAGTAATCATCGATGGAGAGGATGCCCTGGGAAAGGGTGCGAAATTCGGCGTCGAGAAGCATGGCGCGGGACTCGCGATTGTTCAGAAACTGCTACTCAATCCCGAGCCAGGCCGCCCGAGCAGTGATGCCATCACGCTCGTGGATGACGTCCAGGAGGTCGGAGGAGATGGTGTTGAAGAGCCAGGAGACGACCACACAGTCCATGCGTGACCATGTCGGGTCGGTGAAGCGGGGATCGTCACTGAGGACGTGGTCCTTCAGAGCGAATCGGCCGAGAGTGAGAATGATGTAGCCGCGCCACTTGGAGTAGTTGGAAGACTGCAGATCAAGGACGATGGGGATCAAGTTCTTGATGTTCTGGGCAGCGGCGGCCTGGCTGTGCAGATGAGCGATAGCCGCAGCTTTGGAGCGATCGTCGTCGCCGTCCACGGTGTTGTCGTCCTGGAGGAGTTCCGGGCGAAGACGCTCACGGAGGGCAGCGGCCTGCTGTTCCAGGAGATCAGCCTGCGCGCGCTCTTGTTCAAGAGCAGCGGCGGCAGCACGGACGCGTTCCTGGGCAGCGGCGGCTGACTTGAGAAGATCAGCCTCCTCCTGGAGTTGCTGACTGCGCTCGGAGTTGGTGATGCGCAAGGAGATGGCCTCTTCTTCCAGTGTCTTGGCGGCGGCGAGGGCTTCGTCGCGAGGGACGCTGCCGAGGCGCTGGAGGTGGAGCCGCCGGGGGCCATTGGCGCGGCAGCCGTCAAGGTGAGGCGTGGCAGCCGAAACAGAGGCGCTGCAGCCGTCAAGATGAGGCGCGGCAGCCGAAACAGAGAGGTGGGCGGAAGCAGAGGGGTGGGCGGGAGGTGGAAAGGCCCAAGACTGTGATTAGTCTGATACCATGATAGAGGAATGCCAATAGGCTTAGATTCACTTAATAGAGAGTTTACAAGAGGGTTACATATTTATAGAGGTAAACTAACTAGAGAATAAAGAGGTGGGAAGTCCCAGGCAACAAGCCGGGAGTCCCTAGGCGGCACAGTGGGTGGAAACCCAAGGGGCAGCCGGTACAACAGTAAAGATAGGAAATAAATACTCAACACTTCTAAAACCATATGATCAAGTCCAGTTCTTGTTAGATTATCTTGGGATATCTCCAGATATGGTAGATTAGGATCGTATAATCCTGGCTTACCTTATCTCTAAGAGAGGCTTCCCCCCTAAGAAATGTACTCCAATATAAACCATCCACGAGCGCTTGAGGTTGTTGTGACCTTCGACTTAAAGGTCCCTGGTGGTGACCCTCCATTTTTCATGTGGAGCGGTGTCATATTGGTGTGCGGGTGACGAGGAGATCCCCTCCCTCGTGTGGAGGAGATCTGTAGTGTACATGTCAAGGTGATCGGAAGAGTAGGGTGGCAGTGGTGAGACTTTGTGACTCACGACACTAGCCTTTGGTTGGTGGAAGCCTTGTGTGGAAAATGAAATACCGTGACTGGGAGCGTACCTTGGTGGAGCTCCAACATGGACTAGGGGTTGCATTTTGGCAACCAATACCATGGGATACATCGTGTCTGGGAGTTTGCGCTCTCTATCCGTAGTGAAGGAAGATATGCTCGGGAATAGAATGGACTGATTGATGAGGGGTACAGGGTGTACAATATATAGGCAAGGATATCCTAGGGTTTATAGAATCAGATACCCAATCAACGGAGATCCTTGCCTAATAATCAATCATCTACCATTAAACCCCCTGGGCGCCTAGGCCCATGTGGCCAGCCCATTAACCCTCTAATCCTCATTCTAACACTTAGCTCTTTACTTACCAAGTTCATTTCTTCTGCGCGGGCTTTGCTTGTGTGACCTTTAGTTTCCTAGATTAGCTATAGGCTAGTTGATGCTAAAAAAGATGCTAAAAAACATTTCTTTTGGACTGGAAGTGACAATATGGCTCACTTGCATTAATTTGGTTGTTTGGCAATATTGTGATAGATGTGATGCTTTTCTTTCTAACAGATGGATCATCAACTATGTCAAGCACGGCAAGCTGCACAATTATGCACTATTTCGAAGGTATTTAATACTACCTACATTATTTGCACCACATCATCTTTCATCTGCTTGAATAAAGAACCATTATTTGAGAAGCATGATTATTTAGTAAGGAATCCAACTTCCTATTTTCTGAAAAAGCTATTTCCAGTAATGCCTTGTGTTGTTTCCAATTGACACTAGAAGTATTGCCTATGTGAACTATAATATGTTGTGTGATTATTGGTTTCACTGACCTGCTACTGGGATCTTCTTTGTGTAATGCAGGGCCTCAGGAACATGTCAAATAAATTTGATGACCTTGTGAACCTGGTGCGCCTTTCTCTTTGATCATTTTAACTTAAATGATCCTCCTTTTCTTGAGCTGAATGTGCCCTTCTCTTTGCTCATGTTAGCTTTATAGCCATTAATTGTGATGTTAAACTGCACTCACATCAATGTTAGGAAGCTGAAAGCCATGAGTGGTATTGTTATTTTAAAACTACGGCATATTGTTTTAAATTGCGAGTGCACTGGAATGTTCATTATGCTTATTATCATATGATATGCGATATGGGGCTTTCACTTTGCTGGCACAGCATGTCTGCTTTTTTTTTTTTTTGGTGAAAATTAGATTATGTTGACAAACATGATATTGTGCTGAATCATGACAAACCTGATAATTTATGTGTTCTATAAGAGTGAGAAAAACTGATCTGAAGATGTTAGTTGTCTTGCAAGATTAGATGTAGTTCAACTTTGTGGCATGTTCTCTTTTTCATTTTGTCTTTTTTCCCCTCTTTCATCCTGATGATTTCATACGCCTTACTTTTTCTCGAACAACATACGTCCACTTCATATGAAGAATTTAGGTGGATGGCTCAAGCAGATGATAAGAAAGGAACTAGCGATTCAGCTTGAAGGAAAATTGAAGTGCTTATCATCTTATGGTATGAAACCGACCTACATTGACTTACACTTTAACTTTTGTGAACATATATTATTGTTATTGTTTAAGTCTACTTGTTTCCACTTAACACTTGATACTCCCTCTGATCCCTAATATATGTCCATTTGGACTTGGGACAATAATCAAGGTGAGTGGTACAGTGACCCTATTTCCCATTAATCATTACTAAAGATAGGTGGCAGGTTTGCTGCATTGATTAGTGCGCATTTAAATCGGGAGGCAATGAATAATGAGGCAAAAAACAATACTGGAGTTACAAGGGACATATATTTTGTGCATCTGAGAGAAAGTTATATGCAATTATATTGGGATCGGAGAGAGTAATACACATCTAAGCTTCAAATCAACCCTAAATATGACTCTTTAATCTTTATATGTTCTGCAAGCCTGCTACTGAAGGTGTGAATGAGGCAACCAGTTACTGGATATTTACTCTTATTTCAATGAGATAGTGGCTATGTTATTAGAAGATAATACATACATATATGCCATTCTTTTAGGAACTATATGCACAGTTTTTTTTATTTGTAATTTTACTTTTGAGAAACTGGATTGGCTGTGTTTTCTAAGCTACACTGCTGGCAGGTGACATGGAGGCCAACCTCAACTCTTTGTCAAACTTTATGCTTTTCCAGATGCAGAGGATGGAATTCATTGAGGTGATTGTTTGAATGATTATTTTAGTTTTTTTTTGAAATTTATCAATCACATTTATTTTCAGTTAAGTTAAGAAGACAATTCCCTGGAAATTACATGTTATGTTCCACACTATTGTTTTTCCTATTTAAGATGCACAGGAACATGTTGACATTTTTGCCAATGGATGTATGTGAAATTAAAATTACGGTTTCTCTTATGAAACCTGAATAGAAGTAGAGCTATTTTGTATTTATCAGCTAAAGTGGCTATATTCTAGTGACCAGTTAGGTTTATTTATTGGGGTGATCAATCACAGAGATTAAACTAATAACAGTATTAGATTTTTTTCTTGAACAACGCTGGAGAGCTGTGTCCTGTGTGTCATTTCATTAAGAAAGGAGATAAAGTACAAAGGGAGATGCTAGAACAGCCCCTCTGAAAAAGCAAAAGTACAAAAAGCAGGCTAAACAAAACAAAAGTACAAAAAAACAGGCTTAACAAACTCCACAGACGAAACAAAGGAGACGACCAAAAACTGCCAGGCCACTACAAAGAAGCTAAGGAGAAGATCTTGCAGTGAAGTAGCACCCGTCAAGCACCATAGACTGCATTTCCTCTGCCGCAAAATTCAGCAGGTTCTGAATATTTGGCCTCCCTCAAACACACAAGCATTCCTGTGCTTCCACACCTCCCAAGAGACTAGGATAATTAGAGAATTGATCCTTTGCGAATCTCTTTAGCAACACTCATAATAGCATTGCACCACCAGCTAGAGAACCTTGATGTAGAGGCCAAGTATAGATCTTTATCTTCCCAAGAACTTTGTATTAGCTGATTTTCAAATCAATATGGATTAGTTATTTTTATTTTAAAAGTTTGGTGTTTGGTTTGGTTGCATCTACAACCTGAGTTCTTACTAAATAAGTTCTAATTTGATGGGAGAAATGCTTTTCATAAGGTAGAGCATTGACATAAGTTTTAATAATAGGATTCATGTCCGGAGACACAGGTTCGAGCCCTGCATCCTCTTAATTAAAAAAAACAGGGGTGCGATCTGCTCCTTCCCGTCAAGTTTTTTTTAATAATAGGATTCATTAGTGTGATCCCACAAATGGTTTAGGTGAATGTAAAGTGGTCATGCAATGGAGGCATCATGTTGCCAGATTGGCAGTTGCATGCACATGAGAGTATATTATGACACAAAGAAAACATATGATGGTTCGGGTACCCAATGCCATGGCCTATTGTCGATAAGGATGACACCTCTCTGGCGGCATGCCACACTGTATGTTTTGTATTAGTGTTACAATCAGCCCCGTGGAAAGTGTAGGTACAGAAGGTGAAATCGCCTTTTGTATAGACGGCAAGTGCATCACTTGATTCCAGGATGGTGAGTTCCATTTGTGAGGCTACGGACTTGCTTTGCCGTATGTGCTTTGCCTTGCCCCTAGAGTCATTTGAGGATGAGCCCCCTAGCTGAGTCGAAATGGTGAAGTGACAGAAAGGTCCAAGCTGCCATGGTCCATGGGCACCTATTGTCCTATACTCCTATCCCATGGTTGAAAGTGACTCTAAACCTGCTTCTTACCTAGCGTTTAGGGTTTTGTTTAATACTTCATGTCTTTATTGCAGTTGGTTTTGTTTGAAAATTGACCATACATACCATTTATACTCTGTCGTTCTCTCTCTGGTTGCTAGATGCTAGGTATGAACCTTAGTATTTCAGATTTTTTTTCTCTCCAAAGATAAATGGAGGTTTGCTTCTCTTTCAATTATGTTGAGATAGTTGGCCATATGCCTAGTTCAGCACGACTGTGTTTGACTAACACAAACCCCATTCAGATTGGATTTGTGTATCTGTATTTTGTAACAACTTGTCAATTTGTTATTGAGCGCAGAGACATTTAACAGCGTACCAGGGAATGATGACATAATTAGTTAAGTCTGCCCCTTCATTATTCATGAGCTGATGCTCCTCCTTTTGTTTAATGTTGCAGGATATACTGCACATTGATGGGAGCTCAATCTGGCAAGAAACATTCACTACTGTGTTGGAACGGTGTGCTAAAAAAGTATGCCAGGATCACCCCTATTAGCTGTATTGTTTCTCTTATCATATTATTAGATTAATCATTACACTTCTTGTTTTCTTTTTTTCTTCTTCTTTTGAGTCTCTGATAGGAGGCTCTGGAGCTTATGGCATGCATGCAAAAGTCAGCTAATGTGGTGAAACAGTTGAATAATATGTCTAGCCCAAGCACATTTTTTGGTAATCTTCTAGATCTGTACCTCTCAAAGAAGCATGTTCCTTGTAGGTTTTACTTTTTTTATTTCGAACACGCAGGAGAGCTGCGTATCATTATATTAAGAAAAAGAAAAGGAGTCTAAGAAGACTCAAAACACAAAACAAGCCCATTAGGGCATGAGTTTACATAAGTGATTAGCCAGGAAGACAACAAACTTCCGGCCTGTTCGCTAGTTGGTTTCTGGGCTGGTTTGGGCTGACTGGTGCTGGTTTATTGTGAGAGGAAAACACTGTTGGCTGGCTGGTTTGGGCTGGCTGAAACCAACAAGCGAACAGGGCGTTCAACTAGCGACCTAAGCGCCACACCACATTACGGCCAAATATGCCTAAGACCTTAAGCCCCAGCCATACACCACAAATTTGCCTCATCCCTAATTTCTTGCACGAGAGCATTAACATTAGGTGAGGCTCCTTCAAAAACACAAGCATTCCTATGTTTCCAAATCCACATAGAGTTCAGGTTTTACTACAGTGACATTTGTAGATAGTAAAGCATGGTTCTCTTCCCCTTTGGCTGCCAATAGCAGAAGTCATTTCTTTTTGCAAGTTAGGAACATTTGAACTTTTGTGATACAAGTATCACATTTTCAATTTTGCCAAAATGTAGTTGTATATATTATTGCACCTTAGCAATTTCCATGTAGTGAAGTCATATCATTCATCATCAATGTTACTGAGGATGGCAGCTTGTGTCTTCACCTTAGAGTGAGTCCCAGGCCTAGTTTGGCAGAGCTCCCAACCCACTCCCACTTCTACCCCCTCCCGCTCCAGCTCCCCACTGCTCCTGTTGCCCTGTGCTCCAGGTTCAGAGCGGCGTTGTTTGATGGTGCTCCCACGACAGCTCCCTCCTCAACCCAGCAGAGAAAGAGAAGGGCAAGCTGCAGCGGCCTTGGTCTCAGTGAGGGTGGGCTGGATCTCGGCGAGCTCGGCAATGGCGGGCTCGGTCTCGGCAAGAATGGGGAAGCGGCGATGGCGGGCCAGCAGCAGGGGTGGGGAGGCATTGCTAGAGGCAGGGGAGGCGGGGGAGGCAACTCGGGAGGCAACGAGAGGAGGGTGAGGTAGTCAGAGCAGGACCGGAGCGTGGAGAGCAGTTTTTTTCTGCTCCCCACCAGCAGTGCAAAGGGCCAGGAGCGGAGGGAGTGATTCTCCCGGGGAGCAGTGCAGAGTGGCGGCGTTTGGCAGTGCTCCACGGCTTCTCGCCGGGAGCTCTGCCAAACAGGCCCCTAATCTGTTCTGCTTGTCATCTAGCAGACCATCAAATAAGCCATTGGCTGTGGTCTATTATGCAAGATGGATGTTTTCTAAACCTTAATGCTCACTGGATGTTGATCACCTTCACCAGTTTGACGCATTTATTATTACAATATTTGCTAGAGTCCCAAGTTTTTGCACTCTTTGGATAACAAAGTTGTAGCTGTGTATGGTACTGTGTTTGTATCAATTAGTGCTACCTGCATGATAACAAACGATTTCATCATATTGCCTCCATCGCAGAAATATAAGGCATACAATTTTTTTTTTAAAAAAAATCTTGCTGGCTTCAGTTCATAATTTGATGTGTTAAGTTATAATGAATTCATCCACCTTTTCTTGTAAATCTCTACTTTTAAAATTTAAAGGTTTAAAGTTATTGAAAGATTGCTGCTAAACAAGGCAATAAGCTCTCATGTCACATTTTTTTTAATCCCATGTAATAATATTCTTGAGATATACAAAACAAAGATGCTGCCGAATGTTTTGAAATTTAAATAAAATGCCCCCTTTTGCACAGTTTAGAATAGCACAAATTATGCAAGGACATTTTCTCTGTGTTCATGCTGTTAAACGTCATCAAATTGCAGGCAACTTGCTGCAATATATAGTTCAGTTGACAAATCCATCACACTCCATGTTTATAGAGGCCACGATTGGTTGGTAAGTGTTATTTTGTTACATGGTGTACTATTTATACACAATGGCTTTACAACAGAAGTATTGTCTAGTACATTCACAATTGGAAACTTGTTTAAGTTTCAAGTCCTAACATATGCCTGGATGCTTGTCGATTTATATGGACCCAATTTTCCTTCTTTTTGTAAATTTTGAAGGAGAGAACCAGTTTTCTAGGTAATACATAATTTATTGGCTTAGTTGCAGTTCATTTTTTAAAGCATATGCAAACTTCAACTTATAATATCGATGTATCTATTGCCATAGAACTGGCATGCTGTAATGTAGTTTTTACTGTTGCATTGCAACTAGACATGGCTGGTAGTTTTTTTATTAGATGCTGCAAGGCATTTCCATATTACAATTTTCAAATTTTGCTACAATTAGTTTCAACATATCTGTGATTTATATATTCTCCTTTATGTATTTTTCTACTTGTTCATTGTAATTTTCTGCTCCAGGTTTGATGCAGGAGGCCATGAATTGCTTGGCATGCGTTTTTTAAACCTTCTGGAATTATGGTAACTTTTCATCTTTACCTTTTATCTGGAATTATGGTAACATCTTTGCATTTTATCATTTTATATGGGATGACATAATGTTTGCGCTTGTGCCCATGGTAGGGAATTGGGTGAATTATGTCATCCAAACATGTCCTGACAAGTCATATGATTGCTTGCTTAATGCATTATGGGGGTGCTTTATTCTGGAAATAACCTAATGTTAATAAATTACATACCTAAATTCTGTTCATGGATTAACGAAAATGTGCAAGAGCTCTATTTTTTTTTTGAGCGGAAAATACAGCAGGGGAGGCCCCCACTGTAAACTTTTTATTTAAACAAAAGAAGCAGCAACTCTATACAAGAGATAACAAAAAAGGGAAGCAAGCCCGAGGTGTGCAGCAGAGCTAAACTAGAGCAGCTGTACAAGAAAGGAAGACAGAGCGCTTAGCAGAACTGAATCTATGGGCCTGTAGCCTAACTTCGTCATAGAAGGAGCTTTTCCAAGAATCAAAGGATGGCCGGCCTCTGTCAAATATAGAGTTGTTTCTCTGCTTCCAAATCTGCCAGGTGGCAATGATGAAGGTCTCCATAAAAAAGGGGTTGTTATGTTGAGCCTTGGCTTGCTGCATCATCCGGAAGAAATCCATTGTGAAGTCCCAATTTATACCAAGGTGTTGCCAACAGGCTTGGGTAAAGGGGCAGGTGAAGAACAAATGAAATGCGGTTTCTTCAATGTTGTTGCTGCATAGGACACAATTGTAGTTGTTTCCCTGAAGCTTGTGCTTTTTCCTTCTCAGAATGTTCCTTGTGTTCAGTCTGTCCATCAAGAGGAGCCACGAAAAAACTCGAAGTTTGTTACAGCATTTGGAGTTCCAAATCCAGAGAAAAGGGGATGGGGGCTGTATATTCTTGTAAGGAAAGTTGTAGCACTTTGATGAGGAGTAGTTCTTGCTTCCCCAAATGTATTCCCAGGAGTCCTTTGAATTCTGATCGACCTGCAGATCTTGAATTAATTCCTGGAGACTTTGGAATTCTTGGAAGGCTTGCTCTGATAAGGGCAAGTGAAATTGGGCCTCCAGAGTGTTATTAGACAAAAACCTGGCCACTGAAATGTTCTTATTCCGGGCAAAGGAATAGAGCCTTGGGAATTTGGATTCTAGGATGTTGTCATTCCAAAGGTCAGACCAAAAAAGCACAGTGGAACCATCTCCAAAAGTGCACTTTGCAATTCCTCTGAACATGTCACATAATTTTAGGACATCCTTCCACCAAAATGAACCCCTATCTGTCGAAGCATGTGGCACTTGACCCTGGGAATAATGCGCATTCCAGATCAGCTTCACCCATGGGATATCCTTCCTATTATAAAATTTGTCTAGATGCTTCAAAAGAAGGGTCTTGTTTTGACTCCTAAGATTAATAATTCCTAATCCTCCTTTTCTTTTTGGCTTTGAACATTTTCTCCAGGCCACCAGTGGTTTCATCTTTGCATTGGAATCTGAACCTCTCCAAAGGCAGTGACGTCTTGCTCTATCAATATACTCAATGACCGCAACCGGCACCTCTAAGGTACACATGGCATATGTGGGCAGCGAAGAGAGGACTGAATTGACTAGCTGAAGCCTTCCAGCATGGGTCAGGAAGGTAGAAGTTGCCGTGAGCCTTCTCTCAACTTTAGTCATAATGGGACCATAGTGTTCAACTCGAGGTTTTGTTGTTCCCAACGGCAGTCCAAGGTAGTTAAAAGGGAGAGATTCCAAATTGCAGCCGAAGACACCAGCAAGGAGTTGAGCTTTTTCAAGAGAGAGATTTAAGGGAACAAGGCAAGACTTCCTGTAGTTGACTCTCAGCCCTGTCGATTGCGAGAAGGATTCGAGAAGGCCTTTTAGGGCGAATAACTCCCTCTGAGAAGCTTTCATGACTAGAATAGTGTCGTCAGCGTACTGAACAATGGGGAACTGATCCAGCTCAAAAGAAGGAATAGGCAACTCAAACAAACCTTGCTGGTAGGCTTTGTTGACAATGCATTGAAGGAGATCCGCAGCAAGCACAAAGAGGAGAGGTGACAGGGGGTCACCTTGTCTAACCCCACGACGACAGTGAAAGTGGTTGCCTGGCACACCATTCAGAAGGACCGAAGAGGAGCCAGAAGCAAGAATCCTCTCAATCCAATCAATCCAAATTTCAGCAAACCCCAAGTGCTTCATCATCAGCAAGATTGTGTTGTGCTCAATTGTATCAAAAGCTTTTGTAAAGTCTAATTTCAGAATAATAAGCTCTTTTTTGGAATGTTGGCATTGATGGATGTACTCATAAGCCCAGGCCAAACAATCCTGTATTGTTCTATTTTTTATGAAGCCATACTGGTTGGTATGAATTAAAGGAATTATTTTAGCCTGCAGCCGATTGGCAAGGAGCTTTGTGATGATTTTGATGACACCATTCAGAAGGGAAATGGGCCTGTAGTCATTGACACTTGTAGGATTGTGCACTTTCGGGATTAGAGTGATGAATGAGCTGTTGATGGCTTCCAGATTCAAGTTACCATTGAAGAAATCAAAGCATAATTTGTAGACATCTTCTTTTATAAGATCCCAACATTTTTTCAGAAAGAGCCCATTGAAGCCATCTGGACCAGGAGCTTTATCAGACGGCATGTGTTTGATGACCTCATCGATTTCATGGGTGGAGAAAGGCCTTGAGAGAGAAACTAAGTCATCTCTAGCCTGCACTAGATGATCAAGGTTGTAGAGCATTGTAGGTTTAGAAGAGCATCCCATTCTCTTTTTAAAATCCTCTAGTAGCAGAGCTGCCTTTTCATTATGCTCGGTGATAGATCTACCATCCTCGGCTGTCAGGCTAGTGATGGTGTTAATCCTGTATCTCTCAGTGGCTGCAGCGTGGAAAAATTTTGTTCCTTCATCTCCCAACTTGGTCCATCTCACAGTGTACCTCTTCTTCCAGTACTCTTTTTTGTAGCCATGTAATCTGAGAATGTGTGCTTTAAGAATCCTTCTGAAGTTAAATTCCTGTATAAAGAGAGGTCTTTGTTCTTCAAGAGAGTCTAAAACTTGTAAATTGTCATTGCAAATTTTAATCAACCTAGAGAGATTAGACAATTTCTTGCTCCACTTTTTTAGGGCAGCTCTAAGAAGCTTGAACTTTGAGCTAATTCTTGTGGCACTGTTTGAAGCTCTGACATTAGAGGTCCAAACAGATTTCACAAGATCCATGAACCCAGGGTGATCAATCCAGTAGTTCTCAAATCTGAAAGTTTGTGCCTTGGGGATATTGGTGCCAATTTGTATTTTGCAAGGGATATGATCTGAAGTTGGTCTTGCCATTGGAAGAAGAAGTGTGTCAGGGTAATCGGAGATCCAATTAACAGAAGTGAAGACCCAGTCAATTTGCTCAAGGAGGGGATCATCTTGCATATTGCTCCAAGTATACTTTCTCCCTTTAAGTGGGATTTCTAGGAGTCCCAGGTTACTTATAATTTCATTAAAGATCATTATGTCATTCATATTGCCTCCACTTCTGTTTCTGTCAGTCAATGATCTGTAAAAGTTGAAGTCACCTACAATCATCCAGTTCACATTATCATCAATTTGAAGGTTGTTGAGCCAAAGAACAAACTCATCTCTACCAGGACCTTGGCATGGACCATATACAGTGGTCAGGATCCAGTTATGACCATTATGCAAGGAAGAGAAATTGACCGTTATGGAGAACTTGTTAATCTCAATGATTTCCCCATTAAAGATAGAGCTATTCCACCCCATAAGAATACCTCCAGAGTGTCCAACAGAGGGGGAGAAGGCATACTTGTTGAAGCGTTTGGGGGCCAGTTTTTTTATGAAGGAGTGGTCAAAATGATCTCTCTTAGTTTCTTGGAGACAGAAGATTGCACAAGAGCTTTCATCAATTTTTTCTTTTACCGCGCTGCATTTATCTTCGGAGTTGATTCCTCTAATGTTCCAATTGAGGATGTTCCAGCTTCTTTTCAGACTAGAGTTTGAGCTATCGATATTTGTGGTGTTATCCATAAAAAAAACAAGGGATGCATCTAAGGTCCACTTCTGCTCGGACCTGCATCTTCAGGCCTTGGAGCAAGAAGCAGTTCAGCTGTCACCTCCACAGGATCGATGCAGCATAGTTCTGTTGCCACCTTCTGAATTTCAGTGATAGGAATTTCAGGAAAGACAGTATGAGTGTTGACATACTCCTCAACAGTAGAGAGCCCAGGAAATTCAATGGCTTGGGAAGTGGGAGGGAGAAGAATGGTATCCAGAAGATCAGCTTGTGGTTTAACCTTGTTCTCGGTTTTTTTTTCTACCGACTTCCTTATTTTTTGAGGCAGCCATGACAGGCTTGTATCCATCAAGCTTGGCAGTAAATCTTGGGCTTCTTCTAAGCATTTGAGTGGAAGTAGGGGTGCTGCACTTCGTTTTCCTTATCACCTTTCGCTTGCCTTTGTTTTTACTATCATTATCAACAGTGTGATCTGGTGCATAGATGGAACCATCTTGCTCTAGAGAAGGTTCCAGTACCATAGTCTCCCTCTCAAATTCCTTGGTCTTATCCTTGAATTTCCTCCTATAGTAGACTTGAGTGACAGGGGTCTTTTTTATGAGCAGATCAGCAGGCTGAGCAGGAAGGCTTGTCAATGCCTTTTTGACTTCGGAATTTGGATCATCACCATAGAGGTGGTAGGCACCGGTGAAACAGCAGCAGTAGTAGCAGTGCACTGACCATTGTAGTTGACACTGATGTTGAAGGAATCGATCTCCAGAGAGGCAAGGTCAATTTGGATGAGGGGGCTCGGGATAAGTACACTCCCCAAGGAGCCTGTGAATGGAAGAGTAATCTGACCATGGAGGATTTGTCTTAGTCCAGCAGCAAGCAAACTGAAGATAGCCTCTCTCCGAACATGTTCATCTTGATTAGTTGTCACTCTATTATTCATAGCAGATAAAGTTGGACTGCCGATTGTAGGAACTTTGTTATGTTGAATAACTGCCTGCTCCACAAGGTTGTTTTCCTCCACAGCCTGCTTATCGATATCTCGAAGCATGGCAGTGGCAACAGAGGATGAGGCAGCATGAACCGTAACAGCAGGATCTTGATCCCTCAGACCAACAGAGGGATTGAGAAGGGTCGTAAGCCTCTGTCATTCTATGAGTCACTTCCTTTTTGCGTATGGCACCTCCACTCCCTTTGGCAGCATCTACTAATTCGGAACTTAATTTGAAAGCCATATTTCGACCCTTTCTTCTCATTGCCCAATGTTTTTCATATTTGTTTAATTCTGCTCTCTGCTAGAAAGACATATCTGCTTCTTTGTGTAGCTCAGGAGAACTGACATGCAAGTGTGCTTGTTTTTTCAGTTTAGGACAGGTTGGGTTAGCATGCTTGGACTCCTTGGTACACATACTCATAAAGCATAGCATAGAGAATACTGTGACAAATTTACATACTTTGGTATGAATAATTTAAGGCACAGCTTGCAGATAATGAAGCTTATTTTATTCTTTGTTTTTGTTGTTGTTCAGTAACACTGATGACAAGGTTGCAACATTTGGCTTCAGGTTGATGCTAAACGCCAGGAGGATCTGGCCAAGCTGGATGATTTTCTAGGCCCTCCTGCGTCTATTCCTCTGATGGGTCAGTCATCATATAAGCAAATGGTAGACATGCAAATTATGCTTTGGAAACTCATGCTTTCTGTCATATTTATGGAACTTACGTGTAACCCATAACTACTGTGCAAAATTATGCATTTTCTTTGCTTTGTTCTGTTAGCCTTCAGTCTCTTTTTGTTTGGTGGGTGGTACCAGGCACAAATGTCTGCATGAAACAATTTTATTGAAATAAACCTGTAAACTGTTTAGGCGCCACTCTTGGTTCAGATAAAAAGCACCCTTGCTACCCTTGGTTAAGACTTGCAAGTAGTTATGGTTTGCATGTTTGGTATGACTACAAAGAGTAATCCTAAGCTGTGAATACAAATGTACTATTTTAGTTATTGAAAGGATTGCATTTTCATGCAATTCTCTACTTGCATATGGCAGGATTTGATGAGGAAAATACTAAAGGGTGGACAATTAAATCTGTATCTGTATTAATTACTGACTTATTTGAACTGATCTCGATAATATGTGTACTTTTTCTGCTGTATAATATGGCATTAGTCCATGTTGAATCTGATGTGAAGTGCAATTTTGTATGCTGCAACATTTTGGGCATAAAACAGATACCTATATTGTGGACGTCGTCATAGCAAAAAATAAGAATGAGGCCAGGGCATGGCTACAGATGCTGCTGATTCCATGACCGGATATAAGTTTAAGTTAATTGAGTTGTTTTGACTTGTTAGCTGGTTATTTGGTTGAGATAGGATTGAGTTAGCATGTTAACTCGAGTCATTAGCCAAGTTTGTTAGGGCCAGCTCTATATACGGAGACCAGGCACATTCATTTGAGATCAAACAAAGAATAATCCTGTTTAATTTATACTCTCCTGCATGTCCGAGAAAAAAAAAAATCCTTAAACCACATTTTGGCAGTTCACAGCTGAGAGCGCGTAGTAGCCTCCGTCTCTTTGCTGCCTTTCTATCTACTAAGCCATAACAATCTATACATGTGATCTCTAGTAACTTACAGTCAGTTCTATGTTGTGCATAGGTGAAGATTTTATATTCGTCATGGGGACCACTGGTTGAGGAATTGGCAACAATTGGACAACTGCAGTTGCTTCGGACTCTTATAGCCTTCAAACTGAGATCAGCATGCAAGGTAAGGAAATTGAAAGCCAACCTTTGTTTTTCCATGATGTAAAACGTCTTCCAAGGGCCTTCTTTATGGAAGATTCTTGTTCAGTTGTTCCCTAAACATTTTCTGTACTGGAGGTGGCAAAATCAAAGTTGTCACTTATTACTAGTTACTAGAGTAACCCTCCGGGTGTGAACCAGGAGAGCATTGAAGTGACTAAGTTTCTGAATTTCAAAATTGAAAATTTTCCTTGTAAACAGAATCAGATTGGTAAGGTTTCAATCAAATTTATGTGTAAGTTGAAACCAAAATAATCTTATCTTTTGTCATACTTCTCTGGCACCACTAAATTGAACCATGATTTGAATCAAGATTCACGCTCATATGTGCTCTTTAATAAGGCATTTTTGTCAGAAGCATTCACATCATGACATTTGTGGATTTATCAAGTTCTCCATGTTTCCCTTCTGTTCTGCATTGCATATATAGTCTCTTGTTTTCTTCTAAACCTTGTCTGGTGATATGTGTCTGGCAGATCAAAGCAAAGACTATAACCTCAGTTGTTGAGGTTTTGGTGTCTTCACTTTCTGTGCAGAAAGGAAAGTCTGAGGTCAGTTTCAACAATGCCAACAATTCAACTTCGTTATAGATCTGGTTGGTACTCTTAGGTTGTGATTCGATAGTATGATCATTCATATAGACAGAAGAGGATCAAAGTGTGAGATTCTTACTTCACGGTATAAAGGAGCAGCAAAACTTTTGTGGTTTATTTTCACCTCTTCAAGTTATCTATATCTCGGAGGAGCCTCCAATGTTCTTGACCAGATTGCTGTCCCTCTTTTCAATATCACAGGTTTGTTCATGAAAAATTAAGGCATATCGTGAATTAAAATCATATGTTGAATAAGTGCATGACATTATATGTACATTTGGCTGAGTGCAGTTGTCAAGATTTGTGCTTGATGTTCATTTAGGGAATTTGACAAGTCCACTAAAGAGGTCCACCGCCGATTTCTCTGCCGTGGTACTGAACTCAGGTCCATTGTATCTGAATAGTGCATTGTGTTACGTCACTGAGTAATCACATTTTTTCCTCTGCTAGATCATAGGGCTTGGGACACTCTTGCGGCAGTTTGATTCTTTCTATATGACCCAGTATATTCAGGTAATTCTGTTCTTGTATCATGTGATCCCCTTCTTAGACATAAACTCACGACATAAATTTTATCTATTTGGGTTTCAGTTCATGGTTCAGTACATTCGGACGACAGAAGCAGCATTCAATGACACAAGTGGTACACACAAGGGAGCTACTCATTCCTCTGAGGTTGTACGTGCTCATATATCTCTGTACATATGAAATCATTTAGTGAGGTTTTATTGTATCAACCCCCATGTCTTAAGAACACAACTTGCACAACATTTATCAAGTACTATGCTAAATATATGATGCTGTCATTTAGTGATTCTAGATGCTAATATTCACTTGATGCGTACATTTAACTGATATTGTTTTGTTGAGTCAGTAAATACATCCTTATCACCTTCTGTTCTGTTACTTCTTCTTTTTTAGTATTTATTAACTTTGTTATTTGTCAGGCGCCAAAGGCAGTGTTTTGGTTGATGTCCTTATGCAAGTACATGGATATCTCGAGGGATGTAGTGGAATCGTGCTTGCCCGCTTCTGCTCTTGCTATCCTCCAGTCATGAGTCTTCTGTTGTTGTACACTATAACATAATTCAGCGGGACCTAGGGTTAGTTAGCTATCGTTCTTTTTTTTTAAATGTATTTTCTTTCTATTTCATGTAATCATGACCTAGAATATGCCAATATGGACGCAGACAATGTTCTCCATTACGCAAACAAGCTGGAAAGGAGAGTCGCACCTGATGCGCATGCATCACTGGAATGCAAAGAATGCTGGACATGCGAAATTATGCCTTCACTCACGGGGTGTGCTACGGGTTCTATGGATGAAAACTGTCGCGCTTAAATTGTTTTTGCCTTCATTTTTTTTCCACCGAAACAGGATTAAAAGGATATAAAAAATGAATACAGCACGGTATTACAGATATCGATCGGTGATTGATAAGACGTACTAGTAAAAAAAAAAGGTTATACAACACCATCAACACCATATATAGCGTAATAAGCTAACTTCAAACATGATTTAAACATGTTTTACTAGCCATACAAGTTCATACACACATGTAAACTGATAGATTCAAATAGCACAAGACAAAGGAGGATGGTATATATATATATATATATAGACAAAAACAGTATACAATAATGTCCTTGAAAATTTCTAACCCAAAAGGGTAAATCGTTGAAATGGTTGAAAACAGTAGAAATCGTATTATTATTTTCATATTTGCAGTTTCTGTTTTCTGCAAAAACACAATAAAACCTTGGAAACGAGCCCTGATAAATGATACGTTTGATTTACGTTTTAGTAATGCTACAGAACATAGGTGTGTAATCTTAAAAAAAAAATAGATGCTCTGCTCCGCGCTCGCTCCAGCACAGCGACCGGCCTATCTACGCTCTCTCCTCTATCTACTCCATCTACATTGCGACAACCGACAAAAATCCCTAACTCCTCGCTTCGCTCGTCGCGGCTCACCGTGCCGTCTGCCCGCCCCAAGCCGCCTCACGGCGGTGCCCCCATCCCGCGTTGAGCCGCGCCACGTCTACCGCCGAGCCGTGCTCCACCCCTGCCGTGCCCACTCCGCCTCGTTGCGCCGTGCCCCGTCCCTCGCCGCGTCGAGGTGCTGCTGATGCCACCATTCCCCACTAGGAGGTCATGGTCGTTGTCGACGCCGGCGCCGCCATGACGCTCGACCTCAGCTCACGACATCACGAAATCCAGAGTGGTCAGACCCGGAGCGGGCTTCTCTGGCTGCACCTCGCGCACCCTTCCTCCCTCGGATGTTGCAAGGTATGTTTCAAGTGTTTTAGGTGTTTTATATGCATGTTGCAAGTGTTTCATGTGGATGTTGTAAAAGTAGATCGGGATGTTGCATCTGTTGCAATGGTTATACACATATATTGCAAGCGTATGTTCTAAATGTTTTAGCTCAAACAGATGTTGCACGTGTTTTATCTGGATGTTACATATGTTTCACACTTATGTTGTAAGTGTTTCATCCAGATGTTACACATATGTTTTCACACATGTTGCAAGTGTTTAATTTAGATGTTGCATATGTTTTGTAATGGCTACACACGTGTTTTTCTCGTGTTTCAGACATATTTTGCAAGTGTTTCAACTGCTTCAGACGTATGTCGTTTCTTCTAGATGTTGCAAAAGTAGATTTGTTGCACATGTTGCAGTGGACTCCATATGCAGTAGCAGCCTGCAGCTATTGAGCCCGCCTACATGCGTGTGGGCTGTGGAGGGGGCACGAGCGGCAGGCACGGGAAACTGTGCGGGCTCAAATCGAGACGAAAACGGACATGGGACAAGCGGTACGGGACACGGAACGGCATGGGACCCCACGTGAAGTAGGCGTCCGGACGCTAGCCCCCATCTAGACGTTCGGGCGCTAGCCTTTCCCTTTACGTTTTCATCCTTAAAATGGGTTCATTCACATTTTGTCGAGACACGAAGCGAATGGTGTTGCACGGCGGGCGGGCGATGGCTAATGTCTCGTTTCTCTACATCAGTAACAACAGCTTTTATATTAGACAGTCTTATTTTTTTTTACAAATGCAGCATAGAAGTCGTCCAAGTCAGGGACGAAGCCAGGAGAAATGGTTGCTGGGGTCGGTGCTCACAGTACCAGGGGCGAGGGCGAAGCTACATTGAGCTTGCCTGGTGCCAATGCACCACGGTAAGGGAAAAAATTCCACTAACTAGACAAAATTTCACCATGTATTTCTACCAAATTATGTATGTCCTCTTAGTAGTGTACCACCATAAATTTATAGCGGGCTTCGCCCAAGAGTATTAATTGCTGATTTATAGGTCCCAATAATATAATACCATGCATAACTTGACATTGATAAAATAACAACCGCATATTATGACAAAATAAGGTTTCGCAACAGTAGTTACCTCTTACATTTTCTCTCTACGACTATGATCCTCCATCTTATGAAAGCGAATTATCACATGTTTCATTGGAATTGTGGTTAAAAAACTAAAGCAGATAGCAGCTATGCGTATAATGTAGAAGTCACTACTAGATCGATACCTGGCATCTTGTTGGATGGAATGAAAGAGAACGTTCTTCACTTCATTGCTTGAACGCAAGTTACAGACTGCTTTCTGAGAATCTGATTTCGGATTGTATAGCTGGAAAAAAATAAAAACCCTGAGACCTCAATGTTCAGACGATCGTTAATTTAATTACAAATTGCATAATTCGGTATTTGCTGTGTGGGGTACCTGTCTGTACCTCGTCTAGATTGAGAGTAGACAGCAGGAGGTGAACACAAGATCGTCAGATTGAGAACGAACTGAGCCATGTGGAGCGGCTGCTGAGCGTCGTCCACCGGGCAGGGGCGACGCCCACCGGGAAGATTTGGGATGCGTCGTGTACGAAGCTAAGCGATGTTCGGGCTTCTGGGCTATCAAGTACTCTCCGTATCTGCAGCATGTTAGCATTCACCGACTCACGTATGTGGAGTTGTGGGCGTATGGGATTGATGGATCGGATGGATTGAGCAGAAGCAGATCGATGGACTTTGGACTGTTGCTGTTGGGCTGCCACCTGCCGAGCCACTAGGGTCTCACATAAATTTTGCTGGGGTCCAAGCCGGTCAAAATTACTCTGTATAAGGTGAAACGGCAAAGTCGTCGGTGTTGCCAGACCCGGACGCGTGAACATAGCTTCGCCACTGGTCCAAGTTTTGTGGGCCGCTGAGAAACTCAACCAAACTCGACAATTTTTCACCATATTTCACCTTCCCATGCGACAAAACCAGGTCAAAACGGCCGCTTTCTCTCTCTATTTTTCGAATAGTCAAAACGGCTTTCTCGTTGCCTACTATCTCTACGGGCAGCCAGACAAATCTTCGGGTCTCCCAGTTTATTTAAGGACACCACAGGCTCTGCTGCAAAACCAGGCTAGTTTCGCTACCCTCGTCTCACCCTCCTCCCTCCCTCCCCAAATAAGGTCCCGCCCTCTTCCAACATTCACAGGGGGAGGGGAAAACACATTCATCCGGTGGCCATGGCCTCAATTCCGGCGACGACGACCACCGCCGCCATCCTCGTATGCGTCCTCTTCTGTGCCACGGCTGACACTGCCGTCGCCGTCGCCACCGACAACCCCGACCTCCCCGACTACGTCATCCAGGGCCGCGTGTACTGCGACACGTGCCGCGCCGGGTTCGTGACCAACGTCACCGACTACATCGCGGGCGCCAAGGTGCGGCTGGAGTGCAGGCACTTCGGCACCGGCGAGCTCGAGCGCGCCATCGACGGGGTGACCGACGCGACCGGCACGTACACGATCGAGCTCAAGGACAGCCACGAGGAGGACATCTGCCAGGTGGTCCTGGTGCAGAGCCCGCGCGAGGACTGCGACCAGGTGCAGGCGCTCAGGGACCGCGCCGGCGTCCTGCTCACCAGGAACGTCGGCATCTCTGACAGCCTGCGCCCCGCCAACCCGCTCGGCTACCTCAAGGACGTGCCGCTGCCTGTCTGCGCCGCGCTGCTCAAGCAGTTGGACTCGGACGACGACGATGATCAGTAAGACCACGTACATCGACGACAACTCCGGTCGTCGCGGACAGCCTGCGCAATCACCTGCTTGCCTACAAATATAATGGTACAGAGCGAACGCATGGATAGCAGTATCTGAGAAAAGAAAAGAAAAAAAGGAAAAGAAAGATGTAACTGCTGTATCTGAGAAAAGAAAAAAGGAAAAGAAAAATGTAACTTACAGTTACAATCCTGTGGCTGTTCTGAGTGATGGATTCTTGCTATTGTCGCCCATTCTTCGTTTTAACGTACAAGTTGCACTGCAAGATGGCAGAAACTGACAGCAATACCAGCTCTGGCGAAAACTCGCCGACAGAAATAACCAATCTAAAATAACCTGCGGTTCTGATAGCAAGATAAATACCATTTCATTTCTATCAGAAATTAATAAGTTACATCATATTCATAAGGACTAGGCACGGCCAAGGTGTATTTTTGCACCTAAAGCACACAGCATTTTGATCACATCGCATTTCATGAAGTATGCACTAGTCCTAGGGGGTTCTCATGGCAGAGCTTATCCAAAAAGAAGATAGCTCTTCTCTTCTCTTCTCTACCATGGCTTCAGATCTCCCACAGGTCCGGCGGTCCAGTTGAGGCGCTGATCGCCAGGTTGTAAGTACGTACCCTCAGGGTGCGGGAGCTTCCGAGCAAGGCCGTTCAAGATTTGGTGGAACGCGTCCCTTGGTTGCGCTGGCTGCGGGAACAGCATGGCCTGCTTCATCGATGGATTTGCAAGTAACCTTTGCTTTCTTAAGATGTCATCTATAGGCATGGACGTGAGGATTGTGTCTAGCTTTGGGACATCCTTCTCCTCGACAAAGACTCCGATTTCCTCCCATGGGATTGCATCCGCAAATGGAAGCACAATATCATCAGCTATGATGACGGGAATGCAACCAAAGACCACAGCCTCGACCAACCTAGGGCTCCATGGTGCCCAGCCCAATGGGCACAGGCAGAAGACAGCACGTTGCATGTCTTCGTAGTAAGTGGCAGGGTGGTCTGTGGAAATGTCAAACAGAGGGTTGCTCTTGAAGTTCTCCCATAGCGAAGCTCGCGCACCTCTGTACAACAATATTGAAATGAATAAAGGTATCAAACAATAACACCAGATTCAAATATGTTCAAACTTGAAAAGCAGTTGCTACCTTGCATAGTATCCGCCCTCAGGGTCATTTCCAGTGTCATAGAAAAGTCCCCGGAAGTAAACGAAGATTGAGCGTGGAGTGTCAGGGGAAATCAAGTGAGCTTGCATTTTCTGCGGAGGAGCATAGGGTGGAATAATGATGGAACCCTCCTTCAGACAAACATGATTCTCCTGTCCAAAAGTTTGGACCAATGTAGCACGTCGCAGCAATGGAAGAATTCCACGCTCAATAGCCTTTTCTTCCTGGAAATGTCAATACAATTGTTACGCATACAACTTCTGAGTAAAATGGAAGTTAAGGCATTAAAAGGCAAGATTGCACACAATGAAAAGCATGATGAACATGGGCACTCACCTGATAGTGGAAGCATGCTGCAAAATCATGCGGAACAACAAAGAAGTGATCTGCACCATCAGTCCTATTCCAGAAGGGCCATTTGTTTGAAATATATTGGATTGCACTCCTCATCACCCGTGGTGACTTAAATGGCAAGGGCAGTCCAGCATTAGTTAAATCACAAGTAGTGTAAACTGGTGTATAGAACCAATCAGCTTCCTTGGGATTTAGTGTCCGGACAGCACTTGAGAGCAAGAAACGATGCATGAAAATTTCAGCGGCGAACATGTGACTGAGGCACCGTGGATCCTTGGTGACCATCTTCTTGTTGTACTTCCTTGGTAAGTCATAAATGAAGACCTTCAACCTCCCCACAGGATTATCTTCTAACACATCACCAGCACTCCCTACAGTTTCACAATTGCCGTTTCAGTACACACAAGCAATACACATGAACACAATATGAAGTAGACAAATTCAAGAGCAAAACAATCGTATGGAGATTTTTCTACATAAAATTGCGAGCAACCTCTCCATGTTGACTACAGTCTAAGCTTATGATAGAATAGCTTTTTAAAGTTGAACCATTCATGTCATTAAGTTGGGCTCATCTTTGATTCCATACCATTTCAGCCAACCGAACCCAAATTACCTGTATACAGCTGCATATAAAGAAGGCTCCTTTTCCATGTTTAGATATTTGTTAGTGATCAACCAAACAAGTAACAAAAGCAAGACATTCTGGATTAAACGAAGGAGGACACCCAAAATTAACCCTACAGATAACAACTAAACGGTGATAGTACCATCCACAACTAACTACAAAAGGATCGAGCTTGAACCTGAAAACTTTCACGGTGAAAAAGTTTTTTTTTAAAAGCAAAAATGGAAAGAAAATTCGGCTGAACTGATACAGATTTGTCCATCAGCCTCAAAGACGTCCTAGTCCACAAGTTTAATCAACAGCAACAACAAACCATATTCAGCAATCAACCTATTCAATCTCCAACTCCACAGCTACAAGAGATTAGTATCACACGGAACGAAGAAATCAACAGCAACGTAGGCCTCGGATTCCAAGGTAGGCTACGAGAAGCAACACGTCGAAGGGGAGGGAAAAAAAATCAAGTTCCTAAATCACACAGAACCAACTTCGGAAATGAAGAGGGGAAGAAGGTGGGGCACCTGAGATGCGCTCGCTATGCTGCTGAACGGCGTGATCGGCCTCGCCGCCGCCGCTGGCGCCGCCGGCGGCGGCTGTTGCTGCTGCTGCGACCGGCGGCCAGAGGGCAGAGGCGGCCAACAGCAGGAGGGCCACGATGGGGAGCCACCTCTTTCGTGATACCATCCCGGACGACCTCTTCGGCCTCGACCTCCCGCAGCAAAGAGAGAGCTTGGCGAGGGGATTGGATTTAGGAATTCGATAAACAGGAGCAGGTTGGGGAAACTAAGCAAAAGGAGAGATTTTGTTAGGGGCAAATGGAGAGGACGGGGAGGAGAGAGAGAGAGAGAGAGGAGAATGGGTCCAGCGACCAACTAGTCCACAGTTATCAAATGGAAGCTGCAGCCCCTCTCTGAATCCACAGTATCTATTTTTTTTTCCTTGAGTCATAGTTTAGTAATAAGGTAAGGTTGAACTAGTGTTAATCACAATAATTAATAGTCACTAGTGTTTTTGGTGTTTACCTATCTAGTGAAGTTGTAATCCTCTCTTTCCACGGTTTTAGTACTGAATGCCTACTTAAAAAGTTCTCCTCTTGCCTTGATTGAGAAAGTTTGTTACCAGCTTATAAAGAATTATAATTATCGCTGAAGAGTGGTGAAACTGAATATCATGTTTACCGGGCTAATGCCCCTTTGAGTCGCGAGAATGTTTTTCTAAATCCTATATTCTTCGGTAAAAATGGATTGATTCATAAAAAGATTCTATGCTATTTTTATTAATAAATTCCTGTGTTCATGTTTAAACATGATTTTATAATGTGTGATGAATATTAGTATTTGACTGAACCAAGTTCAAACTAAAAAACCATCGTGTGAGCTTTTGGCTAGAAATTATTTTTCGCAGAGTGCTACCACCGCCATGATATAACTAATCACTGTAGTCAGAGCTCTGAAAGTTACGTCCAGATTTTAGTAATTAATGACAATATTTATGGACTAATGTCTTTTACATGAGACATGAAGGTAAAAGTGATAGTACACAACCAAGGTTGAGCTACAGGTGGCTATGAGAGAGAGATGCAATGACCATGTAAAAGATCAACAAGTTGAGAGTGAAGATGGAAAGTAATGGATGCTAGAAGCGGAGAAGTTGAAAGATGTATGCAAGGCAAAGGTATAACATATGGCTTTGTTTTCCACCAGCCATGAGATGATTAGAGAAATGGAAATGATTGGGTTAATAGGATAGAGTCATACCATGAAGAGGAACAAATCTAATCCCTAGTGCGGTTATCTAGTGCCGATCTAATTTTACATATGCATTAGGATTGAGTGGCGTGATCCTTTCAAAAATACTTGCAAAATGCTAACTCAGTGCTAAAGGTGTTGGTCATTCGTGTAGACCTATTAGACTCATTGGAGCCCTCCTGTGTGCAGCAAAGAGGCGACACTAGAGCTTGTCTATAGTGCTCTTGCTAGGCTGTTGTTGAGTGTGTGAGCGATCTTATGGTGCCATCGGCGTTTTGAGTAATGGAGCTTATGAAACAGTACTCATGAAAGGATCTATATGGCTAGAGGGGGTATAAAAATTGTTCTATACAAAGTAGAATTACTAGAGCAATTGGTCAGTGCAAGATATGATCCTAATAGCCACTACAAGCACTAGCTCTAGTTCAAACAAGCAAGCTCCTACACAATTCTAGTAGCAATTGGCTTCTATGCTAAGGCACTTCACCACACAAGAGCTACTAACTACTCTAGGAGATGTTGGGCTATAAATACTCCCAAAGGGGTTTCTTATAGTGCCTTCTGGCATCGAGAAGGCTGAAGAGAGTACATGAGCTTAGAGGAGAGCAAAGTGAGTGTGAGATGTAATGTGTTAGGGCCATGAGAGACACGCGTACATGTGAGAGTGATCCTGCTGTATGTGAGTGTTAGGTGGCAATGAAGGCTGTAGTTATCATGAGCCGAAGCACTTTAGATCTTGGCAACCTTCCTGTGAAGGCAAGGTGTTCTTCTAGGTGGCGATTCTCCGTATGTGATGTGGAGCGGCGTCGTATCAGTGTGCGGGGGATGAAGAGACCCCTATCTCGGTGGAGAAGCTTAGTAGTGTACACAACACTATGGTGATTTGGATTGGGTGGAGGTTGTGAGATTTGGTGACTCACACCCACCTTTAGTTTGCAATCCAACACCATGACTGTATTGCGTGAAAGTGGTGTCAATTATGAGACTCCATGATTCATGGTATTATATTTGGTTGGTTGTAGTTCAAGACCAAGATCGGAAGAGTTGATTGGAATGAGAGACTGTGTGACTTCATTGCCTTTGGTCGGTCAGGTAAACACTGTGATTGGAAGAGACTTGGTGTCCGGGAGCGTACCTCGGAGGAGCTCCAACGTGGACTAGGGGTTGTATTTTTTTACTGCCAATACCATGGGATAAATCTCATTGTCTCTTTGCCTCACTCTATATTGCATTACTTGTTCTAACTTAGGTGTTATGCTAGTTTGTGTGCAAGAACCTTGTATGTGACAACTAGGATTATATTGCATACTAGATTGTGCTTAGCTATAGGGCTTAACTTTCCAACTAACAAAAATATCTTTGTTTGCCCTTTTCCTAAGGACATGTTTAGTGTGATGGCCCTAAGGACTTGATATTAGTGTGAATCTTTTAGTCATTAGGCAAGAACCACAAGTAGGATGGCTAAGGTTTATCGTGATTAAATTTTTATAGTCCCAATTCACCCCAGGGCCAGTTGGCCCTTATATTTTGGCTATTAACATTGTATTTTGTGTGTGTCAATTAGAGGTGGGACTTGCCATGCCATGCCTGTGTTTTTATGTCGCTTTGAGTGTGACTTCTAGCCACATGAGACACGTCGGGTCATGCCAGCACGACAACTAGCCTACATTATTCGTGCCATGTTCTCGATGACACTATACTAGTTTTCTTCACCCGCTCATCAGCTTGTCATTGCGTCAAGATCCATACATTCTGTGGCTATTCTAGAGGATGTTGTAGATAAGAATGCCTAGTACTAGCATTTATCTTTTCTATGGTCTAGCATAGCAGCAATCATTCAAGAAAACATGAAATATGTGTCTTTTGCGCGTGGAATATATAAGACAAGTATCATGTCACGCTAAAATATTATGCTGCGGATTCTAAAATAAGAGTAGGGACGGGTTCGGACCAGATTCAGACAGATACGGATTCAAATATCACTATTTCCACATTTTAATTCGAATTTGAATACTAATACGAATGTTTGTCGGATACTAATGCAAAACGGATATCTCGGATTCAGATTCGGCTATCTACTTAATTTTGAAGATAATATGTATCTATTTGCTTATCGATAGTTTCAAGGTATAATAAAATTATTATGGATGAAGGGATTTAGAATATAGCTATATAACACCATGGATAAAGACAACTACCAAATATAAAACAATTTAATCAATATTTCAATTATTATTAAACATATAAAATATAATAAAATCATAGATAATATTGATTAATTATTGAATTAAAATAAATTCTAGAAGTATATAAATAAAATATCATACTAATTAACATGATTAGCCCTATCAAAATTAATTAAACTTAATATTTATGTATCATTAACGATATTAAAACTACATTAGCCATAGATAGCTTTTAAATAATGATACATATCATTTGTTATATCTAAATAATTTTCATTTACATAGTTAATTAGTCATAACCATAAGATTTATATGGCTTCAAAATAATTTGTACTTCGTGGATACTATTTCATATTTTTTTTGTCGGATGTGGAATCGAATAAAGAATCATCTTAAAAAATGAATGCGGGTATATTCCTTTAATATTCATATTTAAATTGAATATAGATATGGATATCCATATTTACACGAAAAAATACGGATATCGGATGTTTCGGATATTTGGACATCCAAGTCCATCCCTAAATAAGAGGGCCAGGCTAGTCTCTTCACGACGGCTACCCTTTATTCTATCATAGTATGTAGATAATTAAACGCTTATGTCACTATCGCAGATGACATATTGATGAACATGTTTTTATAAATCATACTTTTGTCTAGGATTTGCATTAACCGTGAGCGATCGCAATCATCGGTGAGGGCACCCGGAATTCTGCATGGACACGCTTTTCCTTGACGCTACCGTTGACGCCTTCCCCTTGGACCGTCGAGTTGGACGCCCGGCTGACCAGTTGACGAGTTCATCGAGTTGCCATGTGCGGCTTGAATACCTAATTTCTTGGTTATCACGATACGTAATTCTACTTTGCCACATATATGTATACTCTTCGATCCCTAGAAAATATTTTGCCTTCTGTTTACGTTTATGATTCGGTATATAAATATGCGTGCAGTATTTAGCAACCCAAGATGGAAATTGTTTATTAGCACTGGTTAGTGGTTACAATATTAGACGTAATTGCAACACTGTGTGTAAAGATAACGATAAGCACATTTTCTATGTTTGTCGAGCGCGGGAAGCAACTGCAATGCATTTTGTGCTTTCTTTTAATAACCAAATAATCCTATAATTGAGTTTTAAGTTATGCATGTTATGTGTTGGGTTAAACTTTTATAGTAAGTTTCTCTTGAGGGATGAAACTGTAGTGAGGTTCTCTTGCTTACTAGGGATGAAACCAGATTCTGTTAAACGCATGGAGAATTAGCAAGGCTATTCGCACCCTGCTAACTTCGAACCCCATAACATCCAGCCCCCGCGTCGCTCCCTCCAGGGGCGACTCGGGTGGCACCGCTATGCCCCCCACCTACGAGCCCTCCCCCACACCCTCATCCCCGGCCGCTGCCGGAGCTCGACACCGACAGTCCGGTAGAGAGCAAGGACGGTGGCGGCTGGCCCCCCTCCTCCCTCCTCCTTTCCCAGAGGTGCTCCAGAGGTCAGACTTCTTGGGGATGGCGGACAGCGGCGGATCCCGGCCAGCTGCGCCAGGTCCGGCATTCCCCCGACGACCGGATCTGGTCTGTCGGCGTACAAATCCGCGGCGCGGTGGTGCGCAAGGGGGCGGTGAGGAAGGGCCCGGTGCGGTGGTGCGGCGACTGCTGTGGTGGAAGGAGGTTGCGGCGGTGCGGTGGCCGGTGCCCCCCCGGCCAGATCTAGTGAGGTGGCGGCGCGGTGGTGCAGTGGCGGTGTGGT